ATTTTTTATTTTTTTTTTTGAATGTCCAGAGGACCAGATTGAACTTTTTTGGATTTTTCTACCTGGATTATTGAGCATGCATCAGGACATCAAACTACTAAAATGGGGTTAAGAACAGTCCAACACATTATTAAAAACTGGAAGGATAGTGGGGACCCATCGTCTGCGAGGAAGAAATGTGGCTGGAAAAAAATCCTGAATGATCGTGATTGGCGATCACTTAAACGTTTAGTGAAATCACATTGAAGAAAAACAACATTAGCACTCCGAACTATGTTTAATAGTGAAAGTAAGAGCATTTCCACATGCACAATGTGAAGGGAACTCAAGAAATTGGGACTGAACAGCTGTGTAGCCTTAAGAAAATCACTAATCAGTGAGGCTAGGGAACATAAAGATTGGACCGTGGAGCAATGGAAGAAGGTCATGTGGTGATGAGTCCAGATTTACCCTGTTCCAGAGTGATGGGCGCATCAGGGTAAGAAGAGAGGCAGGTGAAGTGATGCACCCATCATGCCTAGTGTCTAGTCATCAATGCAAGATCTTGGTGAAAAATTAATGCAACACTGGATGGAAATAGATCTTGTGACATTGCAGAAGTTTATCGAAACAAAGCTACAGAGAACGCATGCCGTAATCAAAGATAAAGGTGGTCCAACAAAATATTAGTGACCTTTTTTTTTTTTTTTTTTTGGTGGCAACTTTTTTTTTTTTGGCCAGGCAGTGTATTTATCAGGAAAATTTTATATATTACTGGAAATAATATTTTCCAGGGAGTGTTTCAGTTCAGATCAGTTTACTTATATAGCGCCAAGTCACAACAGAAGGGCTCTGAACAGAAACATTCATATATAAAAATAATAATTTAACATTATTTATCTGAGGAGCAGATGTTTTGAATTTAACTACCTCGCAGAACTCTCATCTTGAGCAAGCATGAAGGCGACAGTGGAAAGGAAAATCTCCCTCATGAGGAAGAAACCTTTAACTGAACCAGGCTCTGGACAAGCGGCCATCTGCTTTGACCGTAGTCAAATCACAACAGAAGTTGTCTGAGAGCGCTGTACAAAAACATTCACACTAACAAAAGCCAATTAGTAATGTTCTCTAAGGAAGCCTGCAGACTCATTAAATCTTCACTTCATCAGTCTCCCATCATGAGCAAGCACAAAGGAGACAGTGGAAAGGAAAAACTGCCTCAGGAGGAAGAAACCTCCAGCAGAACCAGGCTCAGGACAAGTGGTCATCTGCTTCGACCAGCTGGATTTTAGAGGAACAGAAAGGAGAAACAAACCCAGAACGGCATGTCCAGATTTACTTTCTACAGGAGGAAAGACCATAAACATTTTAAGATAGAAATAATTACAAATACAAATGGTTTCCACCAGAATAACCTAACTATTCTTTGTTGATTCCAGCTGTACAGTCCACAAAATCAACATTTTCTTGTGGAAAAACTACCATAAAAATTTTATTTTAGGTAGATTTAGGTACATTTTAAAATAAATTACTCAAATGCTTTAGTGATTCTTCCTCTACAGAAAAAGCTACAGAAACTACAGGAAAAAAAATGTTCTGTTATTTTGTCCTTAGCAATAAATATTGTAGAATCTATTTTTTTGGCAGCTTTTCCTCAAGAAGGAAATGTTAATTTTACGGATTGTACGACTAAAAAAAACATCTTTACATGGGCAGGTTATTCTTGTATAAAAGAAAATATCTGTGAAAACATGTTTTTCCTGTAATATACAATTTTTTTCTTCATAGATTTCCTACAAACTGGATTCCAAAAAAGTTGGGACACTAAACAAATTGTGAATAAAAACTGAATGCAATGATGTGGAGGTGTCAACATCTAATATTTTATTCAGAATAGAACACAAATCACAGATCAAAAGTTTAAACTGAGAGAGTATCATTTTAAGGGAAAAATCTGTTGTTTCCAAATTTCATGGTGTCAACAAATCCCAAAAAAGTTGGGACAAGTCCATTTTTATCACTGTGTGGCATCCCCCCTTCTTCTTACAACACTCAACAGACGTCTGGGGACAGAGGAGACCAGTTTCTCAAGTTTAGAAATAGGAATGCTCTCCCATTCATGTCTAATACAGGGCTCTTAACTGTTCAATCGTCTTGGGCCTTCTTTGTCGCAGCTTCCTTTTTATGATGCACCAAATGTTCTCTATATGTGAAAGATCTGGACTGCAGGCTGGCCATTTCAGTACCCGGATCCTTCTCCTACGTAGCCATGATGTTGTGATTGCTGCAGAATGTGGTCTGGCATTATCGTGTTGAAAAATGCAGGGTCTTCCCTGAAAGAGATGACGTCTAGATGGGAGCATACAGGTCCTTCCCAAAAAATTAGCATATAGTCATAAAGGTCATTATTTTCCATAATGCATCCATCCATCCATTTTCTTCCGCTTATCCGGGGTCGGGTCGCGGGGGTAGCAGCCTAAGTAGGGAGGCCCAGACTTCCCTCTCCCCAGCCACTTGGGCCAGCTCTTCCGGGGGAATCCCGAGGCGTTCCCAGGCCAGCCGAGAAACATAGTCCCTCCAGCGTGTCCTGGGTCTTCCTCTGGGCCTCCTTCCGGTGGGACGTGTCCGGAACACCTCACCAGGGAGGCGTCCAG